CCATGGTCACCCAAGGTGTAAGGGAGGCAAAAACTAGGTGATACAAGATAATGGAAAAGTACATAAAGACAGAGAACTCAGGAGAATAGAGAAATCAGCCGAAAGAGCCAAAACGAATATGCACAGATAAGAAGGGAGGCTCAGAGACAATATGAAAATGACATAGCATCAAAAGTAAAGACTGACCCGAAAGCTGTTGTACAGCCACACAGAGGAAAACAACAGTCAAGGACCAGGTAATCAGACAGAGGAATGGTGAAGGGAATTCACCAGAAACGACCGAGAGGTATGTCAGGAGCTCAACACAAGATTAAAAGAGGTATTTTCAGTGGAAACCAGTAGGACTCCAAGAAATCAAACAGGGGGCACACCACAAGTGCTGATGAGGGTACATATAACCAAGGAGGAGGGGGAAGCAAGGGGGGACGGCGAGAGCGAACTTGACAACCTCAAAGCGGTGGGACCACACAACATCTCTCCATCCTCCTCTAAAGAAGGGACAGACATTGTGTGCGAAGCCATTAACAAAGCTCCTTCACACATCATTGAAACTGGGCAACTCCCTGAAGTATGGAAAATGGCAAATGTAGACCCAATAATTTTAAAAAGGGAGACAGACATGAGGCACTAAACTACAGACCTGAATTCTCTAACGAGTATAGTATGCAAGGTCATGAGAAGATCATCAGGAGGAGAGTGGTGGGGCAACCTGAAAGAAAACAAAGTGTTAATTGACAACCAGCATGGTTTTCAGGGAAGGAAAAATCCTGTTCAACAAACCTACTAGAGGTTTTATGACAAGGTGACAGAAGTAAGACAAGAGAAGAGGGTGGATCGACTGCGTATTTTTGGACTGCAAGAAGGCTTCTCGACACAGTTCCTCACAAGAGTGTTACTGCATAAAGCTAGAGGACCAGCACACATAACAGGAAAATGCCCTGCATGATCAGAGAACACTGACAGGGAGAAACAACGAGACATGGTACGCACGAGGTGTCATAGTGGGGGCGCCTTGTGACAAGCGGGGTTCCCACATGGGTCAGTCCTAGGACCTTGTGCTGTTCTGGTAGACGTGAACGACATAACGGAAGGCTATGCGGTGGGCGGGAAGGTGGTTCGCTGTGGGGTTGTTGGCGAGGGGGACGATGTGGAAGGGGGGTAATGAGAAAGAACGAATCGGACGAGGATCAGCAGGACTACAAAGAATCTGGACAGGCTACAAGCCTGGTCCAGCAACTGCTCTTGAATTTAACCCTGCCAAATTCCAAAGTCATGAAGATTGGGCAGGCAAAGAAGACCAGCAGACACAATATAGTCTTAGATGGCCAAAGACTGGCAAAACCTCACTAAAGGAAAAAAGATCTGGGGGTGAGTATAACACCGCGAGCATATCTCCTGAGGCGCACATCAATCAGATACTGCTGCAGCATGCGGGCGCCTGGCAAACCCTACGGATAGCGTTCCGATACCTCAGTAGGATCGTTTAAGACTCTGTAACACCATCTACTTCAGGGCCCATACTGTAGTATGCAGCACCAGTTTGGAAATCCACACCTAGTCAAGCACGTCAAGAATATTAGAGAAAGTGCAAAGGTTTTGCAACAAGTTAACTAGTCCCAGACAGCTACGATTGTCCTATGAAGAAAGGTTGAGGGAAATCGGCCTACGAACTGGAGGCCAGAGGGTCAGGAGGAGACATGATAACACATATAAAATCTGCGCGGAATAGACGTAGGTGGACAAAGACGGGATGTTCCAAGAGATGGGACACAGACACAAGAGGTCACAATTGTAAGTTGAAAGACTCAGATGAATCAAAGGGATTTTAGGAAGTATTTCTTCAGTCAAAGAGTAGTCAGGCCGTGGAAAGCCTAGAACAGAGATGTGGTGGAGGCAGGATCCATACTATATTTTTTAAGGTCGAGGTATGATAGAGCCTCATGGGGCAGGGAGAGAGAGGACCAGTAGCAATCAGCGAATAGGCGGCCAGGAGGCTGTTACTCGACCCCGCTACCACAAATAGGTGAGTCAACAAAGGTGAGTACACGCCACAGGTGCAACACCTAGAATCATATATTCTTGACAATAAGGTATCTCTAAGTAGTGCACGAGAATTTTATTCATTATCCGAGGGCTTAAATGGACTAGCTACTGTATCCCATCAAAGCGATTCCTTGAAACAAGGAACTGAAGCACCCTCAGAAATACCTTCTACTCAGAGCCTAACAACCAGAAAGAACTACAAGAAAAGACTAAAGAAACAGAACATTGTCATAGAAAAACTCAGAATCCGAAGAAAATATGATCGTGCATTTTTAATATGTTTACAATAACATTAGGAGAGAGAGAAGTGCGTCAGCACCATGATGCTATGCAGAACTTCTTCAGTGAAAATGTAATGAAAACATATGACAGCGAGCCGGATGAGGAAATTGTGAGGCTGATTCTCCTATACAGCATCAGAGTGTTTACAGTACTCATGAGTCAAGCAGCCAACAACGGAAGTAAAAGACGAGAGTAAGACGCCTGGGTCAGGAGTCGGAGGACTCGAACTCAGCAGCATAAACAGAGAACACACACACAATATACACCAGACACCCGCAGACACTCCATACACAGGGAGGCGGGAAACACCTGACATCTCTGGGATTGAGGGAAGGAGCACCTACCACAGAGATGGAGGGAGTGAACACTTACCACGCAGACAACTACCTTGAAGCCCTCCGGAATTTGACAGAGAGTGCGTTGTACAGGATGGGGTTGATGGCGTGTTGAACGAGACCACAATTTTATTAAAAATATATTACCGTCATATGATATATATATAATATATATATAATATATATATACATATAGTATTATATAAATCATATATATATATATATATTATATATATATTATATATGATATTAAAATATAATAGATATATAATAAAATATATAAAATATATATATATATTGTATATATTATATATATAAGAAAATATATATATATATATATATATATATATATATATATATATCTAAATATATATATATATATATATAAAATATACATATATATATATATACATATATAGATATAATATATATATAAATATATATATATATATATATATAAATATATATATATAATATATATATATAGATATATATAGTATATATATTCAATAAGATCACAGTAAACAGGTGATTACAGAAATATTCAAACAACCACTGTGAAAGAATATAGAAATTCCAAGCGCTACGTACTACTCACATTATTCAAAGGAAAAATAAAAGTAATGCATCAAAGAAGGCATATAAATGTCCTAGACCACACCTCACTATCACATCCCAACAACAAAGTCAACACCTGGAACGCGCGACTCATAAGGAAGAGAACACTGCAGAAGGTCCGCTGGCCCAAATAAACAGGTCCTTCACACAACCCACGAACAAACTATTATACCCAAGAAATAAGAATTTCAAAATTATTATTTTTCCAATGTATTATTAAATACCTTCCTAAATTCTAATATTATAAATAGATCTAACTTACATAAACCAAAGGAAATATTATATTAGATGTCAAAACTTCTTTGTGAAACAAGATTCAATTATAATCCATCGACCATGGACTATGCTTGATACAACTTTCTCACTTTTTGAAAAATCAATTGGATGGTTTAAAATCTCTCACATGAATAAATAGAGCATGGAATCTTGTCCATTCTAATGCTATATTTAACGTTTTTTAATTAGTTAGAGACATTTACCAGTTTTGACCGTAATAACTTTATCGGCAAATTTTACAAGGAACTTATAGACACATCCATCAGCATTTGGGGGATTCTTTATCAAAAGTTTTTTTTTTTACCTGTAACCAGTATTTTAATTCAACTTGATATTAAAAGTCTTAAGAGAGGAAGGGCATGTTCAACCCAGTTTTCAGGTAAGGGAGAAGCCATCATATTTTTAGTTGAATAAGGTTGGTTTGTCCCTTTTTGGATAGTAAAAAGTATTTCTAGCAATTTTTAAAAAAAGATTTATCAAATACTTTATCTTGGGTATTTCAAATCTTAGCAATATTCATAAATTTTGGTATTTCCTCATCATGAACTCTGGACTACAAATACGTAAAGCTCTCAAAACATTGATGATAAAACAGACAGTTTAACTCTATCTTGACGTAAAGGAATAATAGTGACATAGGAACAGTTTATTTGTAGTTTCTGTAAATTTTAAATTTGATTCATTATTAGCCTTAATAATTAAAACATCTAGAAAAGGCAATTGAGTTATATTCTTCAAACACAACAGAAAAGGTTTTATATAATGGCTAACCTATGTTAATTGCCAAGGAAATGTGCTGTATATCTACATTCCTTGGGCAAAAGACACAAAATATCATCAACACATCTGAACCATTTACTCTATTAGGAGGCTTGATGTTCAGCAACCTTGTTTTCAAAAATTTCATGTATAAGTTACTAAGAACAGTGACAGAGGATTCAGGTGTAAGAGGATTTCCCATTGCCATACCAAACTTCTGAGTGTAAAACATATCATTAAATACAAAAATTGCATCAACAATGCAAAGTTTAAATACATTTACTGATAGTAGGAATTATCTATTTAATGATAAGTTTTTAACACTCGAAGTTTGGTAAGGCAAAGGGAAATCCTCTTATATTATACATATATATATATATATATATATATAATATATATTATATATATATATATATATATATAAATATATATATATATCTATCTATACATATACTATATATATTGTAGAATAGATAGATAGATTTAATATGGAGTTAATAAAGCCAAGTACATAAATTTCTTAGAAATATTACATCCCTCTTGATAAATTAACTTGTATAGAATAAACACAGCAGTCATACTTGACTATATAAATCAGTAGTTTGTTATAAAATATTATCCGAAAATTATACATCTTTCCTGTTAAACACTCTGATAAGAGTTATCACAGTCAGTTTAATCACTTACCTGTTGATAAAAATGCAGGTCTTGGCGAAGAGAAGATACCAGAGGTCCTTATAGGTGGTGTAGCCAAACATAGCGAGCAGTGAGTTATAGACGAGCAGTGTACGGTAGGGCAACCACAGCGTAGCAAAGATGGCCACTACCACCGCCAGCATCTTGACCACCTGTCAATACAAGGAAAAAAAAAGTTGACCTCTGCTTAGATATTCGATATTTTCACTTCCTGTCAACACGAGAAATCTTTATTTCTCATTATTTAGGGATCAGATTTTCCACCTGTGTAAAAATGAAGATTTTATCGGATGTCAAGACTTTAGAGTTTCCTTAATGAATACATTAACAGTAATAATCACTTGTTAAGACGATGATTTCACTACCGGTCAAGATATGAGAGTATTTCATCACTTGCCAACACGCCACATGATGTACTCACCTAACTGTACTCACGTAGTTGTGCTTGCAAGGGTCGAGTCACAGTTCTTGGCCACGCCTCTTCACTGGTTGCTACTAGGTCACTCTCCCTGCTCCGTGAGCTTTATCATACCTCTTCTTTAAGCTATGTAGGGATCCTTCCTCCACACACCACATAATCCCACTTCCATGACAACTCTATACATGTCTTCCTAACATCCACTGGACCTCATCTGAGCCTTCAACTTCATTGGGGGGGGGGGTACCCTAGTTTTTGCTGTGTCCTCAATCTATGGAACATCCTTCTCCTGTCCACCTGCCGATTCCCTCGCAGTATTTATTCGTTAATCATCACCTGTCTAGGTAGATGACTAAAGAATTTTCATCATCTCTCAGAGATAAGAGACCTTTCATCATCTCTCAACGGATAATAGACTTTCATTCACCTCTCAAGAGATAAGAGACTTTCATCATCTCTCAACAGATAAGAGACTTTCATCATCTCTCAAGAGATAAGAGACTTTTATCATCTCTCAACAGATAAGAGACTTTCATCACTCTCAAGAGATACACTTTCATTCATCTCTCTCCAAGAGATAATGACAGACATCACCTCACAAAGGCCCCATAAATCTTCCTACCCTAAAATAAAATTTCGTTCCCTAGAAATTTTCTTACTCCAGAAATCTTCCTGGTGACATTATCAAAGTCTGTTGTTGTGTGAGTGTGTGTGTGTGTGTGTGTGTGTGTGTGTGTGAAGGAGAGAGAGAAAGAGAGAGAGAGAGAGGAGAGAGAGAGAGAGACAGAGAGAAGAGAGAGAGAGAGAGAAGAGAAGAGCACTTAAGACACCTCCACCATAACAAAGGATTTCCCTTGTTATTTCTCTGCAGACTTGTATCTGAGAGTTTTCTTAACGAGGAAACGAATCAAAACTATTTCTGGGATGACGCACAATCACCGCACCTCCAGGAATATGTTTGAGTCCTTTAGTGTCTATCAAGATATTAGCCAGAGTACAGTTCTGAGGGATTCAACTGGTATTATATCTCTACAAAAAATAAGGAATCTAAAGGAAATAGTGAAAAGTTTGCAAAATAACAGTGTAAAGAGTTTTCAGCTGAACATTTCCTTCAAGAAGTTTGTTTTGCCTTTCTTAATTTCCTTCATCCCTCTCTCTCTCCTCTCTCTCTCCCTCTCTCTCTGTCTTTCTCTCAACTCTCTCCTCTCGTCTCTCCTCTCTCTCTCTCTCTCTCTCTCTCTCTTCTCTCTCTCTCCCTCCTCTCACTCTCTCTCTCTGTCTCTCTCATTCCCTCATCTCTCATTCCCTCTCTCTTCTCTCCCTCTCTCTCCCTCTCTCTCACTCTCCTCTCTCCTCTCATCTCCTCACCTCTCACTTCTCTCACCTCCACTCATCTCCTCCTCCTCCGACTCACCCACTTCTCTCTCTCTCTCTCTCTCTCCATCTCTCTCTCTCTCTCTCTCTCATCTCTCTCTTTAACCACACACACATCAAGCCAGGAGCTGTTAAACGACCTTGCAACCACTCCTCACACTACAAACAATCTGACACCTAGTTCATACTTTTACTATCGAGCTACATTCTCACTTACATCCTTCTTCAGCCTCAGACCTATTTTTAACTTAGTATTCACTCACGCTATAATTTCTTATTACACAATAAAGCTGAGGTCTATTTTAGTTTACCGGATCACCATGGTGTTGGTCCCACAAGCCTCCCAGCTCGCGCTTCAGGTCCTTCATATGCGAGTACGTCACTACAGCAGAAGTTGCCTCACGATAGCATGTGTCCTGTTGCCTCAGAGGATCCTGGTCTCCCCCTCTTGCTGTGCCAGATGCTCTTGCATAGCAAGAGATAAAGGAAGAAAATGTCAGACTCCGCCCCTCTGCTCGACGAGGGGTTTTTTTTTTTTTTTTTTTTTTTTTTTTTATTTGGGTTGAGTTCTTGTCTGATTTAACACTGACCGCGTAAAATCACGTTGCAATTATCCTCTCTGACATCCCACGTCTTGTGATAACGCCACCTCGCCTACTTTCCGTGCAAAGATTTCATTTTGGTCACCACTCAGGCATACCTCTTCTCCGGCGCTTCTTCTAAGTTTGCAATCTAAACGGTATACCATGTCCCAAATGCATACGGTATATATATGCATAGATGCATGCCTACCCACTATTCCTTGGAGAGATTTGACTCCAATATGGTTGCGTCTCTTAACTGATTGAACTGCACAGACACCTAGCTTGCCCGAGGGTGGTATTCACACAGCAGTTAAGACCAACTTTTTAAATTGAAGTTATAAACGTATTTTTAACTGGATTTTCAATAAATACCTAAATGATGGTATCTGTTGACCAAACTCCGTGATCACCTGAAGTGGACTGATAGAATGATAATGTTAGACTGATAATCAGAAATACTACTGGGGGGGGGGGGGGGGGGGGGGGGGGGGGGGGGGGGGGGGGGGGGGGGTGTCCATAAGTACCCTGACTGATAAGACTGTAAATAAAATAATAAATAAATAAAAACTGTAAATGTTTCTTTGAACAGTCAAGAAAATATGAATAACAATAATGCCTCAGCTACATACTTCGCTGCGTACCTCATGACCCTTCAACAGTAAAAATATTAAATGTATTATTAATTCTCAGAAATGTCAGATATGATGTTCAAATCTTAGAATTGAAGCCTTAAATAAACGCAGCAGCTGGGTGAACCAGTCTTCTGTCCTATCTAAGCTACTAGCAACGAGGAGCTGGGTGGAACCAGTCCCTTCAGTCCTAGCTAGCTACTAGCACGAGGAGCTGGTGAACCCGTCATCAGTCCAAGCTAGCTACTAGAACGAGGAACTGGGTGAACCATCTCAGTCTCAAGCTAGCATAGCACGAGACTGGGTGAACCAGTCTTCAGTCCTAGCTAGCCTACTAGCAACGAGGACTGGTCTGGGTGAACCAGTCTTCAGGGCCTAGCTACTACTAGCGCGATGAGCTGGGGATACCAGTCTTCAGGTCCTAGCTAGTCTACTAGGCACTGATGAGCTGGGTGAACAGTCCCTATCAGTCCTAGCTTAGCTACTAGCGCGATGAGCATGGGTGAACAGTCTTTCAGTCCCTAGCTAGCTACTAGCGCGATGAGCTGGGGTGAACCATCTTCAGTCCTACTAGCACTATCACGGGAGCTGTGTGAACAGTCTTCTAGGTCCTAGCTAGCTACTAGCGCGATAGCATGGGTGAACCATCTTCAGTCCTAAGCAAGCTACTACACGAGGACTGGGTGAACCCCGTCTTCAATCTCTAGCTAGCTACACACGAGACCTTGTGAACCAGTCATCAGTCTCAGCTAGCTACTAGCACGAGGAGCTGGGTGAACCAGTCTTCAGTCCAAGCTAGCTACCTAGCACGAGAGCTGGTGAAACCAGTTCTTCCAGTCTAGCTAGCTACTAGCACGAGACTGGGTGAACAGTCATTTCATTCCTAGCTACTACTAGGCACGAGGAGCAGGGTGAACCAGTCTTCAGTCTCAGCTAGCTACTAGCACAGAGCTGGGTGAACCAGTCTTCAGTCCTGCTAGCTACTACACGAGGAGCTGGTGAACCAGTCTTCTAGTCTCAGCTAGCCTACTAGCACGAATCTGGGTGAGAACAGTCTTCAGTCTCACTAAGGCTACAGCACGAGGACCTGGGTGAGAACCAGTTCCTTCATCCCTCAGCTAGCTACCAGCACGGACCTGGGTGAACCAGCTTCCTCCTAGCTAGCACAAGCACGAGGACCTGGTGAAAACACCAGTCTTCAGTCTCCGCTAGCTACCAGCACGAGAATGAGACATAAAAAAAATTCTGTGAGAATTATCAGATTATGTGAGATCACAGACTGGGCCATAGTAAGAGGAATAAGCGGAGGCCAGGAATAGAAGGAGTGAATAGGAGGCATTTATCCATACATTAAGGCCCAGCCCGAATATAAGAGACCTGAAATCCATGCGTTCGCCTCAAGAGCAATAAATAATGTTAATGCTCTGATATAAGCTCAATACGAAGTTCCCTTTACTTTTACTATTCATCTATACTAGTTATCCCATAGAAACCACAGGTATGGGTGAGGAATGAACCACACCTATAGCAAGCGAGATTTTAAACTCCTAATTGTTCTCCTAATTTGAGCGAGGCATCATCCTCGCTCAAGCGAGTGATTACTACACGCCCGAATATCACTTTACAGAGAAAATATTGCGATCAAAAATTGTTAATATAATATCGGAAAAATATGCATATTCCTCCATGTCCAGAGCATCTTCACATGGAAGCCAGCCAAAATGTAGCTAATATTAACTTTATAATTTCGGGTGTAAATAATGGAAATATGCCGACAGTTAGTTGAAAAAGACACAATGCAGTGAGTCCCTTATTTCAAGAATGAAACAGTGTACAAATACAGGACTTCCTTAACTTGTGTTGTACCACCCACCTACTTCTTATTTCCACTTGATCTGGTACAGAAAGACAGCAAAACACAAGGCTGGGTACGCTCATCAGTATATTATTATTATTATTATTATTATTATTATTATTATTATTATTATTATTATAATTATTATCAAAGAAAGCGCCTATACCGCTCATCAGTACTGTATTGCACATTAGCAATAACTAATTTACATTTTTTTGTTATTGCTTAGTAACTGAACAAAAAAATATACCACCGGTATATTGAACTACACATATTTTGCAAGTTCCACTGG